GCCCGCGCCGCCCCCGCCTCTCGGGCGCGGGAGGTTTCGGCAGCTCCGAGGCCGCCTCCGGGGCTGGCGGGAGCTGCAGGCGGCCCGTCCTGCGACCCATCGTTTGTCCCGCGCGGACTGACGCCCGAGGGGTCACGTCTTCTCGCCCGCGCGAGGCGGGCGGCGGCTGCAACCCGTTCTTCCTGTTGGTCAGGGGGTTGCGCAAAGGAAACGCGGACGGGGGACCGGCCGGCGGTGCCCACGCGCCAAGAAGTTTTTTTTTTTAACTTTTAGCTTTTTAACTTTTCTGTACATATAAAACTATTCTTGAATAAAGTCTTTAAAAAAAAAACACATTTGTTTTGATTTGTGCCAGCCTATGTCAATACGTCATCTCATTCAATTCCAGTCAACAAGCTTTTCCAGAGAACTTACTATCAGACCCTGAAGTAGGTCCTGGGGAGGCAATGAGTTCCTTGTGAGAGATACTGTCGTTGTGGTACCTGTGGAAAATAGACAAGTGTCTTTGGAACAGAGGGAGAGAGGATCGCCCTCGGTTTCAGCCTCATGGTGATACCCACCGTCTCGTGGGTACTATTCACAGACAGAGTCTGTAAAGGCAACTTTCTTGACGTATTTAGAGGGCTTAGATATAGGAGGATTGACAGAGGAACAGTATTTATCTACTCAGCTAAAAACACATTTATTGAGTGTGTCACATGTACCAGAAACCACGCTGAGATTCTGAAACAAAATGGTGTATCACAAAGACATTTGTAAGATTGAACATCCACTCCTGACTTTTTAAATTCTCACCCAAATACGAAAAGATGGAAGCTTTTTAATATTATAAAATGTATTAGTTATACCAAAAAAAGGTGAGATCAATAATATGTACACACCACACCACTTCAGAAAGTACTTGCCTAACTCTGGTGTTTACTTTTCCTATCTCTCAGTTATTTAGATCTAGATGTTTAAACTTTGTAGTGTAATTTGACTTATTTTTATAGCTGCTAATTCTGCAACTTTCTTATTTGATCATAATGTCTCCAGCTTATTTTGAAATAGTTCAGAAGAAAAAATAAGGTGTAGTATGTGTTTGAAAGGGTGATGCAGGCAATGCGGCAATGTTTTCCTACAATGAAACACAAGAAATGCTATCATACAGTTCTGGCATATGTCCCCTTGAGCACATGTGAAAGAGTATATCTTTTTTTTTTTTTTAATTTATACAAACAAGAACTGGGGTGCAGGCCAGAGGTGCAGGGGTGAGAGGATTCACCAGGGACAGAATGGGGAGCAGAACAGGCAGATCCACTGAAATACACTGCTGAGGGGAGCAGTGGATGAAATAGGAGGGTCTGCTGCACCCTATGGGTCACTCCCAGGCTGGGGATCAAATTCAAACCACAGTGGCTGGCAATAGCTTGATAGCACTGAGACTTAACCCCTGTGCCAACAGGGAGGCCCTGAAAGAGTATATCTCAATATGTATCTGGGAATGAAAATTGTTACTCTTTCAAATACAAATAAAAAAGAGAACAGCACACCATCTATAATGGGCACTGTACTGATATCTTTGCACTACTGTACAAAGTAGAGGATACACTCAACTTTCTCTTCAAAGCAAAAGCACTAATTTACACTCTCATCAAGATATGAGAATTCTCCACAAAGTGAAGTAAGTCAGGAAGACATAAACGGACAATTCAACGACATAGATAACATAAAGGGAACAAGGTGGACAACTGCTAATGTAAAATAATTATGATTTCACAGACACTGATAGCTGATTTGAGATTGTGAGTGTCAGTGCGATAGGGAAAGGGGAAGATCTAAGGGGACAGCAGGATGGTGGTGGGGAAAAAGTAATGGAAAAGAATTAGCAAGGCTATCACAATGTCTATGAATTGTTGATGATAGATCAGCAGACAAAAGAGTTGTAGACACGAGTGCCCTTCACCCTAAGCTCACCAACAGATCCTTCACTAGGATTTAATATTTAAGATTTCTCTATTTTAGGTTAAAAATATATATGTGAAAATTCTCCACGGCTTCACATTTTTTTTCAGCGGTCACTGTTATCAGATCGCAACTTTTATCCATCTACTGGGTGTTCAGAGTGATCAGGTACCAGCAAAAGTGTCTCACAGACTTCATTTTCAACAATGTGACCTTCCTTGGGAAAGCAGCACATACCATCATGGCGGTTACAACTGAGATGAAAAACTCACAAAATGAAGAATGATGTAAAAACAAAAAAGAAAGAAAGAACAGCCCACCATCTATAATGGACACTGTATTGATATCTTTGTACCACTGTCTGTAATTTTTAATGAGTATGCTACTTTGCAAAAACAGCTCTCCAATTAACCTGGCGTGAAACCGAATGCTTACTATGTATTAGAAAACATGTAGGTCCATTTGAGACACTGCTATCTCTGCAGTGCTTTAATTAAAGTGTTGTGAACACAATCTCCCCAATTAACCTTTGAGCCAAATTTTGAAATGCGGGACTATTAGGAAACTCTAAGCCACACTGCCAGTTTCCTGAGAGGGCAAGCAGCTGGCTACAATATTTATTCTGCTTTTCCAACGGACTCACAGTGAAAGATAGGTACCAATTATATGACATTCTGGAAGTATTTACAACTCTGCAAGTTACAGATTTAACTGTTAGAGTGGAAATGAAGTCCAGAGGCCTTAGCTCCTCCAAGCACGAAGGCATAATTGATGTTTTGGGTTTGAACCCCATCTCTGCTTAGTCCTTTCCACCACGGCACAATGACTCTTCTCTACAGGAATTTCCCCCATTTTTTGTCTGCTGTTGTTTTCCAGAAAACAGACATTTTCAAACTGAAAGCGTGTCAGCAAAAGTTATGAAATCATTAGCAAAAATTTGTTTTATGGAATGAGATTAAGAAATAGGAAACAGCTACCTTTTCTGGGGTGCCTCGTGTATTGTGACTCTCAACTCTTCTGACTTCCAATAGGCGGGTGTCTTACATCCCAATCAATTCTCCAATTCTCCACACAATGGGATATACCCTACACTGCCAGTCAGTTTTGACACTAACTGAACCCTCTTCAGGTCCCACCTTACAGGTGAATTCAAGCCATTTTCTTGTTGTAAAAGAGAGAAGGAAGAAAAGGTCACCAGCTACAGGAGCAAGGGGCTTGAAGGAGATTTTTGGCTGGTTGGGTTTGTGTCTAGGCTGATGGAAATGATCTGGTAGAGAGAGAAAGCTTGATGCTGCAGGAAAGAAAAGACCATCGTACTGGAGGGATGTCCTCAATCACACAGGACAGGATCTGTGCATTCGTGGATCTTAGACAGTGTGTCGGTGAGAGTGGGCGAGAAACTGCAGGTACACGGGGAGGCGTGGTGGGGACCGCTCGAGAGAGCTCGCTCCTGCTTGCTTCACTGTGGCAGTGAAGTGGGAGTCAAGCCTCACACTGGAGAGAGGCTGAAGGAAGAAGAATCCAGAAGGAAGGGCCAGGTGGGAGAGAAGTGGGGTTACTAAGGATCTTGGGGGGGAAACGGTGTGATTTCTCTCCTGATGTTAGAGCTCATACATTTCAACAATGCTGGTAGGTCTCATTTTTCCTCAGCCACCTTCCGCTGTGTAGGTCTGGGGTTGAGCTAGCAGCAGACAAGAGCACGCTCGAGCCAACAGAGGTGATGTCTCAGAGCTCTGCTCACAAGTACCTCTTGTCTTCTGCTGAAAAGAAATGGGAATTTCTACCTTCCTTTCTTCCCACTGCTTCTTAACTCCCTTGTTCTTGGTGGTAGCTACAGAGGAATCATATTTATTTATTTTTGTTAGGAACCTAGCAAAACACCCACAGTCATTTAAATTCAGATTAGCACTGAATAGGCGTGTGTTGCTATCAAGTACTTGGATACTTTTTTATATGCCATTAAAATCATTAAGGAGATTGGGAACTCTTTGGGAAGCAGAACAGATGAAAATAACATCATTGAAAACGTAGATTTAATTTTTAAAATAGAATTTCTGTCATTCTCTTAAGTGTCTTGGCTCTACGGGCATTTAGGGCTGGAGAATTTGCAATTGTTGGGAGCTGTCCTGTGTGTTGAAAGGACGCCTGTAGGCAGCCTCCCTGGCTTCTCACCACCAAATACAAATTGCACCCTCCAATTGCAGTAGCTTGGGCTATCTCCAAGGTGTGGAAGGGGGTAAAATCTTCCAAGCTGAGAACCACTTTGGCAGCCCAGCTCCAAGGCCTGAGAGAGAGGGGGCTGGGAAACCCACACACGTATCCTCATTAATAGTATCTGGTTTGGGCCCATTTGGAAAAAAGGAGCCCAGGTTCACTGGAAACTTCTCAGGGTGGAATGTGCTCTGAACCAGAATATTTTCTGGCCACACAACACCTCAGTAAACACTTACCTATGTTTTAATATAGGAAAAAAAAAACACAACAGTACAGGGAATTAAGGGTTCCCAATTGTTTATTGGTGTAGTGGTTAACTTATGCATCCACTTAGCTAAACTATGGTGTAGGATAAATGAGTTAAAAATCAGGCTTTTGGGCCCCCCTGATGGCATGGCGGAAGCAGCTGCTTCAGCACCAGTTCCATCCCCGGCCAGGGAGTGACCCACAGGGCGCAGCAGACCCCTCCTGACCAGCCCACTGTTCCCCTCAGCGTTTCAGTATGTGTTTCAGTCCATCGGCCTGTTCTGCTACCCACTGTCTCCAGTGAAACCTCTCACCCCCTGCACCTCTGGCCTGTACCCTTGTTCTTATATGCATAAATAAATATGTCTTAAAAAAAAAAACAGGCTTTTTATGCCATTAGCCTCTATCACTGACACCTGGGTCTTGCACGCGTGCCCAAGATGGGGCACTCCGGGCGAGACAGTGTGGGGTGAGCACGCGTGTGGGTGCAGGCGCCCATGCTGAGGGGCGAGGGGTTGTGGGGGTACAACTATGGTACAGGAGGATCGTGCTGAGGCAGGACAAGAGAGAGGAGACAGCCAGAGAGATGCTGAGAGAAAGCTGGTCTGTCCCTGCGCCAGCATTAAAGGCCTGTAAAAACCTGCTGACCGCTCCGGAATTATCTCCCCGTCTGTGAAACCCAACAATGAACCCACC